TTGTTACTGCTGTTCACAGTGGCAGCGACGATGTAAACACTTATCGGTACTAATAGCGGTAGAAAATCGCTTGATACTGGAATCACGAGCTCGATCAGTACAGATTTGCGTCTCGCACTGATATGCCAGGATACTCGAATGGGCTTTCCAAAGTGGCGATGAAAATGACTAGACTCGCTTCTCCCCCTTTTTTTCGTATAAAGAGGTTTTTTGATCAGTTACTACCGGTTCGATCGGTTACTGGAGATTAGGTTTGCTTCTACTACTTTTACAACTCACGTTGTGCTGTAGGGATCCCCCTAATAAACGATCCGCCTAAATGAAGCAAATGCGCTAAAAGAAACTCTCTCTCTGCTACTTCTGCATGCAAAAGTAAGTAAAATACGAAAAAGTGGCATGTTAATTTGGAAAATTTCATGTTGCCATTGTTCATGCCGACATATGGTGCTCATCATTGCAGATCGGTGGGGCGGATGAGCCGCGTCGCGTGTGACCCGGCTGTGACGCGACTGTCATCGCTGCCGCGTCACAGCCGAGTCACACGCAGCGCGGCTCAACCTGCCCACAGGGCACAGCATTGGTTGGGGAATCCCCATAGGGGGGTCGTATTTGGCCGCCAGGAGAGGGGGGGTCGTAATGAGTGCGGTAGCCAGTATCGAGCAGCGCAAAGGTGTCAGTGTGCTGAATCCTGTGTAGCGGAACTTGCTTCGTAGAGAACTCGGATATGTAAAAAATGAGTACAAAACTTTCATCCATCAAACTAATCCGAAATAATTGGAATTATTAATAAGTCGACAACATCTCGTAAGTGATTAAACACTACAACTCATACTCTGGTTTGCTGCGGATGATGGGGCGTGTCCGCGATCACGCTTGGCGCTGAGCCAACCTGTTTTTTTTCTGACAAACGACAGGACTACCATATCGTTCGTACCAGACGTTTTCCAGCACTTGGTCTCCTTTATCGGAATCAGCAACTATCGGAGCACAGATCTGGCGGCGTCGACACGGACACGCTACATCATCCGCAAGGGAAAACACTGTAGACAAGTGCACAGGTTCGCCATGGACCTCCCTGAATCCTACAGACACATTTGCGCGCGTGGACACACATTATGCACAAGTTGCACCATCCCATCACTTCTGCGCGGACCTCAGTGCGCGGCGCATCCAAAGTCAGCGTGATCGGCGCTAAACGAACCATATCCTGCTCCTGCTCCACCACAGGATACGTTCTACATGCGTTCCTGGCTATTCGAACACGCTCACTTGAAACGGTGCACAGGAAACGGGTTTTTCGCGCGGCTGGGAGTGCTCCCTAAGAAATCCCCATCGCGAGATCTCATGAATCCCGAGAGCTTCAGGAACAGTTCAATAGGTTTTTAGAAAGAGAAAATCTTGAGAAGCTCGGATCCGTTCTCAGATTTGTGAAATGTTGAGTTACAAAAAAATATATTGATTCAAACCTGTTCAACTTGAACTTCAACCCTTCACTCCCCAACGAATCCCTATGGCAGATTTCTCTGTGATTTTCGCGACCTTCATGAACATTTTAGTACTTTCAGGAAGATCAAACCTTCTAATTTACCAATACGCTCTCCTCTTCCCCACAGGTCCGCTTTTGAGGAAGTTATGGTCCTTCAAAGACACCCTACTTTGCTGAAAATTCTCGCTCCATGGCTAATAGCCGTTTGCTCCAGTCACGGCTGCAATTACGTACGCATCTCTGCTACCGTACTCCACATCTCGGGGTTAATGCATTTTAGGCGTATTTCTTTTTTGTTTTCTTTTTCTGTTATACCGCTTTTTGTTTTTTGGTTTTAATCATAGTCTCATTTAACTCGCATTTATGCTGTGTGTATGCTACTCATCGTGTTTTTGATTACAAACGCTTGTACATAAGTAAATCAAGTCAATTTAGGTAGGACTGTTTATATCTATTTTTTATATCTAATTGTTTATATCTAATTTCAGGAATTATGTGACGTCAAACACTAAAAAGGGGGGGTCGTACCGAACCCCCAAAAAGGGGGGGGGGTCGTACAGGCCTGACCAAAATCCCCATCGAATGCTGTGCCCTGCTGCCACGGTCGGCAATGATGAGGACTGTACCTCCATTTACAAACGGACGACGCAACGCATGCAAAGACGCTTGAGCAATCTCTTTCACTGTTTCATTTCCCATCATGTAGAACGGCCCGTTGCAGTACGGTGGGTAATACTTGAAGGGCCAGGCCTTTTTTGACACGTACCTGGAAGCATATTTTGAATTGCTTGAAAATATTACAAAGCCTTCTCTGCTCAGGTGAAAGCCCACTAGATATTAAGTTCACTACCAGAATGAAGCAGTCTACATATTTCACGGTTTTTACCGTTGAAAACGCAAAAAAATCACAGGACCGAAACAAAAATAGATTGGGCCAGTTTTATGAAAATGATGCAGAAAAAAGCAAGCACTTGGTACAACTTTCAACGCTTGTTTTTTTTTCTAACACTAAACAAACTACTGCGTAATCACACCTTTCTACACGCACGCCAAGCTTGTTAAGAGTTGCTATGTAAATGTGAATTAATGCTATGTAAATGTGAATTAACTGACCATTTATTTAGTGGATTGCGAATCGGAGCTGTATTGTTGTGTACATAGCAATACAGTCGACGGTGCGCATTCGTAGCCCAAATCCAGGGACCCAAAAGTCTGTCGGAATGCACGGCAACGTCATCATCAACTTTCAGCAGGAAAGGCACCGATGAACAGTATGTGACATGGAAGGTCAAGCACGCGTGAACCTGATTAATTTTCAAAAATAAAGCAACTTGTTCGATAGAGGGAAATCCTTTCCTAAAAGTCAAGTTGGTTAAAACTTTCAACCTTTTGGAACCAGATTTTGATATGAATCTGTCAAATCCGTTGCGATGATATCACGATACTCGTATTGTTCTTGTAGTACCTTCGCAAATTGTGCACTCAAACGTGAAATTGACAGCATAAAAAATACTACAAAAGCGCTGGTCCTCTTGAAGTAAGTGCCAACTTTATTACAGAGGGACGTGCCTGCTCAAATTAGCTGACTGCCTGTCGGAAAAAGTTGATCTTCGTGTACAGAAACTTTTCACCAATCTTTCTCAAATCATACGTTTCTATGAGCTGCCACTTTTGTCGTGTTTATATGAATATGGCCTCGACTTAAAAGCGAAGGGCACCCCGTCAAAACCTGACGAAGCCCTAACCCATGACGATAGGCGACAGAAGTTTTTCACGATATGCACAAAACTTCTTTGATAAGATGCCGAAAACTCGGCACGAGACCCTTCATATGCTGATATGGAAGCCTCTGAGAATGTTCTAGAAGAATACCACAGTTTCTGGGAAGATTTCACAGTATAGCTGTTAGCTAGCATAATAGTTCTCACTTCGAAAACGGTTGAAGAAAGAAGCTCATTCCTTTCGCAAAACCCCACAGTGGAAAACCTTAGAGACCCACCACAAGTCTCCGAACGCATAAAAGCCACGATTGCAGTGCAAAAATGTGGACAGCTTGCATGGCCGGCCTCATGCATGTGTGAGTTCCTTTGCATCAGAGAACACTGAGGGTATGGCTCAAGATGCGGAGCGCTCTGCTTCTTATCGAGAATTGTCCATGTCTCGTGCCCATCTATCCGGTGTAACCACATTGTTCATTAATGACAATTACATAGTCGGCAATAATGTACGCAGCTCACAACTTCTTCAACTTTATGTCCCACAGTTCACCCATTTGCGTCTTCAATTGTAAGATGAGTCCTCAACGAAGTGCTAAGCTTTATCTTTCGGCCTGAAGGTTCAGAGTATACTGATTAATTTACAATATGCATATGGTTTACCTAGCCTGCTATAATACTGCTACAAAGCTGTCGTTGGAGTCCAGGTCGATTCTCACAACAGGTTTGAACCATAGTATTCCCTCTGCGGGTAATGCTAGCACAAAATCTTCCTTTCTTTATCCAGAGCCGACAATATTCTCCTTAGATTTTTTCTTAATTTCAGAGATTTTTCAAAAGATGCTACTGTTCAGTCACCGCACAAACCCACCATCTCTTCTTCTCTCCATTCAGAAAAGCTCAGCTAGCCCAGTGCTGCCATCGTCTGTTTTTTCGTTCTAACGAGGACGCAGGGCTTTGGCGTAGACTTTTTTATCTATTTCTCATGGGCAAAATGACCTAATCCTTTCGTTGTGATGAGGGTCCCGGTTCTTGTTCCCCTCAGAACTTTCACTCACAGCCTGTTCGCTCGCTGTTATTTCTTGTACTTTTTTTATGTGCCCTTCCCATTTTCACTGTGCCATTTGCTGATTCTCTTTGAGTTGCTTTATCGAGTTATATGGCACACCCTCGGATATTATGCTCTTTACAGTCCAACTGTAAATGCTTTAAAAGGTGGAATTTCGCTGGAAGTTAAGGGCAATAATAAATTCTGCGCGATGCAAGGTAATAATAGTTTAAATTCATTGCGCAGAAAGTGAGCAATATCTAGCACTAATTCGAAAATCCGTAACCAAGGAAATGCCATTACTAAACCCACAAAAATAAAATCATACTTTTATAGCACGTTGAGTGCGTAGGTGAAGCCAGCTGTTCCTGGATTGCCTGTCGTTTCCAAATCTTCAACAGTAGAGAGTACCGTGACAACAATCAAAGGATTCCTAAATAACGCCTTAGACGACCAAAAAGTAAAAAGTGACGAGTAGATAGTGGAACCAGTGTAATGTAGTGGTCATAATTAACTACAGTCCTAGGCGTTCATTTGTACAACTTTGCCACTTTTTATCTTCGCACCGAAGAAAGCACTCATGCGCTTCGTAGGCGATTGGCGGGTGCACTTGTGCAGCGAGCGCTAGACTTTTTCGTGCCATGTGTATGTGATATTCTTGATTAGGGGGTCAAACCATCTTGGGTTCCATATCCCAGCAGAATATATCGCGAGGAGAAACGACCAAAATTTGGCACGAGTGTCAAAGAGTGGAGTGCCGACTGAGTGGTGCCAAGTTGTGGTTTAACCTTTTTTTCCCAAGTCGGGAAGGTTTGCAATCATCGCCTTATGCAGATGCTATTGCAGATTTCCGAGCTCATCCGGAGCAGTCCTTATGTTAACTAGAAAGTATAGAAGCCGTCGAATGTATCTGCTCTGTAAGTGAACTATTGAAAGCATGCATTACCATACATTTGGAAAAACGAAGATAATTCATCCTTTTTACGATATTATGTTTCTCTATATAATCGTCAAATGGTGCTCCCATAAACATAGCGTCTCTGATATCTCTGATATACAGCCTCATCGCCGAAAAACGTCTAAACAGACTCTGTGGTATAACTATACTATGTTACCCGACTTTGAGCGATGCGAAAAAACAGAGCACACGTGAGTACAGCACTATTGCATTCTTTCTTGTTCGAACTAATGAAATATGACGGAATGCATGTGAGCAAGCACGTACACTGGTTCACTTCTACTCGTCACTTTTTACTTTTTGGTCGTCTAAGGCGTTATTTAGGAATCCTTTAATTGTTGTCACGGTACTCTCTACTGTTGAAGATTTCGGAAAAACGACAGGCAATCAGGAACAGCTGGGCTTCACCTACCACCTCACGTGCTATAAAAGTACGACATTTTTGGTTTGGAATGAATTTTCTTGGTTACGGATTTTCGCATTAGTGCTAGATATTGCTCACTTTGCGCAATGTTTCAAACTATTATTACCTTGCATCGCGCAAAATTTATTATTGCCCTTAACTTCCAGCTTCCAGCAAAATTCCACCTTTTGAAGTACTGGTTGGACTGTAAAGAGCATAATATCCGAGGCTGTGCCACGTTACTCGATAAAGCAACTCAAAGAGAATCAGCAAATGGTACAGTGAAAATGGGAAGGGCACATAAAAAAAGTACAAGAAATAACAGCGAGCGAACAGGCTGTGAGTGAAAGTTCTGAGGGGAACAAGAACCGGGACCCTCATCACAACGAAAGGATTAGGTCATTTTGCCCATGAGGTAGATGAAAAAAGTCTACCCGCAAAGTCTTCATCCTTGGTCAGAACGAAAAGAGACGATGGCAGCACTGGGCTAGCTGAGCTTTCTGAATCAAATTATCCGGGAACACTGGCACCCAGAGGAAGGGAGATTCCGAGAAAATCAGTCCACCGTCTCACAGGTTCAAATTACTGGCCAGCACAGTTTGAGTCAGTGATTTCCTTCAATGTCCTTTATTATCAATCCATTTTGTTGTTCAAAGAAGAACCCAAAGAATGCGCCTCAAAAAACTAAGCAATACTCAAACGTTCTAGGCGGGAAACTCGTCAGCGATCGTCGAGCAAATTTCTAGTTGCACTCCCTGAATTTACGTAAGTGGTTGCTCCAAACTGGTCAAGGAGTGACGCTCATCAGAAAAGTGGGTTTGGGCGGTGAGTGAGGCAGCAGATCTTTGGGAATCTTTGAAATTAAGAAAAAATCTAAGGAAATAGTGTCGCTCTGGGATAAAAAGGAAATTTGTGTTACATCAACAGCAGAGGGAAGTACTATGGTTCAATGTGTTGCGGAGATCGACTGAGTGCCAATTGACAGCTTTAGAGTGCAATACGCAGGCAGGCAAACCATATCATATTATAACTAACCAGTCGCCTCGCCGGCTGACGCCGGCGCGGCTCCTTCTGATACGGCCCGGCTGCGCCGGGCGGGCGCGGCTTCGCCGCGCGTATTTCTTTCACATATTTCTAGACTCAACTGATATCCGCCTTTTGTTCTGTACTCCACTTTTTTCCGGTGTCTGAAGTACTCTTGAGCTATTTTACAGATTCTTCGTCTGACTCCGCCCACCTCGGAGCAGGCCCGCCCACAATGTTTGTGCCCCACAATCCTCACCGGCGACCCTCTGCTGACCTTAATCCACTTTTTCCGGTCTTCGGAGTGCTCTGGAACCGTTTTACAGACCTTTTTGTCTGGCTCCGCCCACCTCGGAGCAGGCTCCGCCCACAATGTTTTTGCCCCACAGTCCTCACCGGCGACCCTCTGCTGACCTTAGTCCACTTTTTTTCCGGTCTTCGGAGTGCTCTGGAACGTTTTTACAGACCTTTTTGTTTTGGCTTCGCACCACCTGGGCAGACTCCGCCACACCTTGTTATAATATATGTGGTGATCAATCACTAGAAAGTATTGCCTCTGAAACGCAGCCGAAAGATAAAGCTTAACCTTCGTTAAGGACTGCAAATGGTAAACTGTGACATAAAGTTGAAGAAGTTGTGAGCTGCGTACATTATTGCCGACTATGTAATTGTCATTAATGAACAATGTGGTTACACCGGATAGATGGGCACGAGACATGGACAATTCTCGATAAGAAGCAGAGGCGATCCCGCATCTTGAGCCATACTCTCAGTTTAGTGGTTCTCTGATCACGGCATGAACCGGTGGCCATGCAAGCTGTCCACATTTTTGCATTGCAATCATGGCTTTTATGCGTTCGGAGCCTGTGGTGGGTCTCTAAGGTTTCCCACTGTGGGGTTCTGCGAAAGGATTGAGCTTCTTTCTTCATCCGTTCGAAACGGAACTACTATGCTAGCTACACTGTACTGTGAAATTCTCCAAAAACTGGTATTCTACTAGAACATTCTCAGAGCTTTCACTACCAATCATATGAGGATCCGCGTGCCGAGTTTCGGGCATTTATCAAAAAAGTTTTTTCCCATCGTGAAAATACTTCTGTCGACCTAGTCGAGGGCTAGACTTCCTTCAGGTTTCAACGGCGTGTCTTTCGCTTTTAAGCCGAGGCCATGTTCATATACACGACAAAGTGGCACCTCACAGAAACGTATGATTTGAGAGAAAGATTGGTGAAAAGTTTCTGTACGGAGGATCACTTTTCGCACAGCAGTCAGCTAATTTGAGCAGCACGTCCCCTCTGTATAAAGTTGCACTTATTTCAGCGAGGACACGTTGTAGTATTTTTTATGCTGTCAATTACACGTTTGAGTGCAAAATTTGCGGAGGTACTACAAGAACAATACAAGTATCGTGATATCATCGCAACGGATTTGACAGATTCATATCAAAATCTGGTTCCAAAAGGTTGAAGTTTTACCAACTTGACTTTCTGGAAAGGATTTCCCTCCATCGAACAAGTTGTTTTATTTTAAAAATTAATCAGGTTCACGCGTGCTTGACCTTCCATGTCAAATACTGTTCATCGGTGCCTTTCCTGCTGAAAGTTGATGATGACGTTGCCGTGCATTCCGACAGACTTTTGGGTCCCTGGATTTGGGCTACGAATGCGCACCGTCGACTGTATTGCTATGTACACAACAATACAGCTCCGATTCGCAATCCACTAAATAAATGGTCAGTTAATTCACATTTATATAGCAACTCTTAACAAGCTTGGCGTGCGTGTAGAAAGGTGTGATTACGCAGTAGTTTGTTTAGTGTTAGAAAAAAAAACAAGCGTTGAAAGTTGTACCAAGTGCTTGCTTTTTTCTGCATCATTTTCATAAAACTGGCCCAATCTATTTTTGTTTCGGTCCTGTGATTTTTTTGCGTTTTCAACGGTAAAAACCGTGAAATATGTAGACTGCTTCATTCTGGTAGTGAACTTAATATCTAGTGGGCTTTCACCTGAGCAGAGAAGGCTTTGTAATATTTTCAAGCAATTCAAAATATGCTTCCAGGTACGTGTCAAAAAAGGCCTGGCCCTTCAAGTATTACCCACCGTACTGCAACGGGCCGTTCTACATGATGGGAAATGAAACAGTGAAAGAGATTGCTCAAGCGTCTTTGCATCGTTCGTCTCCGTTTGTGATGCATGTACAGTCCTCATCATTGCAGACCGGTGGGGCGGGTGAGCCGCGCTGCGTGTGACTCGGCTGTGACGCGGCAGCGATGACAGTCGCGTCACAGCCGAGTCACACGCGGCGCGGCTCACCCGCCCCACCGGTCTGCAATGATGAGCACCATATGTCGGCATGAACAATGGCAACATGAAATTTTCCAAATTAACATGCCACTTTTTCGTATTTTACTTACTTTTGCATGCAGAAGTAGCAGAGAGAGAGTTTCTTTTAGCGCATTTGCTTCATTTAGGCGGATCGTTTATTAGGGGGATCCCTACAGCACAACGTGAGTTGTAAAAGTAGTAGAAGCAAACCTAATCTCCAGTAACCGATCGAACCGGTAGTAACTGATCAAAAAACCTCTTTATACGAAAAAAAGGGGGAGAAGCGAGTCTAGTCATTTTCATCGCCACTTTGGAAAGCCCATTCGAGTATCCTGGCATATCAGTGCGAGACGCAAATCTGTACTGATCGAGCTCGTGATTCCAGTATCAAGCGATTTTCTACCGCTATTAGTACCGATAAGTGTTTACATCGTCGCTGCCACTGTGAACAGCAGTGACAAGCTATTCCAATACAAACGATAGGAGACCTATTTCCAGTCCTTCGCACCGTCCATGTCTGCCGTACGGTTTGATATACAGTATGGCTCCTACCACCTTCATTGTTCTTCTAGCGATCCATTTGCTGATATCCGTCTCATCAACACATTGAACGCCGCGGCGTTTTTGCGGCGACTCCCGTTTTTACTTCCTGCGTCTCCGCGCGCGTGAATTGCGTGCAATACACGGAAACGGGAGTCTTTGTGCCGCATGCCCCTTTACACGCTCATTCTGGTTACTTTTGCGCTCATTTCTACATTGTTCAATATGAATGATGACTTCTTTTAGCTGCATAGATGGATCTGGACAACGTAGAAGATCTAAACGTCAGTTTTGACGACATAAGTATTGTTATCATAATCAATTACACTATCAAATGCAATGTATTGTAAATTAACAATTATATCACTAGAGTTCTCACTACCATTGTGTTGATGCGGAGCTATTATTCGAAGTGCAATTACCGAGCGCGCCAGCCGCTGACTGTTATTTCGGAATATTACTGAATTACTTCAATCAAACTTCAATGTGGGCAATACACATACGCGAGAAACGGGACTATGCGCGCGTATTGCCACAATTCACGCGGCGTTAATGTGTTAATACTATTGAACTTGGCTTAGAGGTCCACGTAAGTGAACTCGGAATCAGCCTGCAAACGGTGGTAATAGCGAATGGATGTCAACTATCTTCCACTGGTCTCAAAACGTTGATTACAGTCTCATTTTTGTGATCACGATGGCACTGTGCGTCTAGAAACTTTGAGAATACTCGAGAAAGGTGCGCCCTTACGCCGACATTTTCCGTCTTAATGGCAACTTTTTTCGTTGCACGAGCTTCTAGGTCAAGGAGCATACTTCCGTTTTTGACTTCTGATAATGATGTCGTAGAACCCCTTAAAACTCGAAAAATGTGAGCAGCATGGTAGCCTTGTGGAGCGACAATTAGTCGTTACGCAAATTCGCTGAGCGTGCACCATGCTTGAAAGCAACTACTGCTATTTACTGGTAGTAGTGATACGTACAGCATGACGAAGTCCGAAAGGAATCGGTTTGGTGAGAAAAAAGCTATGGGCGAGAAAACTTGGGCCGAATACTATTGAGCGCTATTGTAGTTTGAATATTTTGGGAGACGGTAAAGAGGATCGTAATTCGCCGCACCGCCACGCGCGGCGATGGGCGCGGCGTTTTCATAACTCGTTTTAACCTGTCGAATGGAGCACCGGACTTCATGTAGACCCCGTCATCGTAGACACTCATTACTGTTTTCGGTCCTTAATTGCATGTTGTCGCCATCTACTACCTGGAACCATCGTCCTTTGCAGGCGAGACGTCGCACGCGACGCCCAGCAGCGCGGCGAATTACGATCCTCTTGTCACATACCCGAATATTTTGCTGCTGGTTTCCGAAAGAGGGATTTTGCGCAATTCTTCTCACTCTGCCCAAACTGCTCAGACACTGAAATTCACTACTCTAAGAGATTGCAGTTTCCGCGTTAGTCTAGCTGCTCTTACGGCCCACCTAGCAGGTATCGAACTTATTGCTGTTTCTCACGTTAAATCAAGATTGTTGATTGTAATGTAAATGGATGTCTGTTCAAAGCGCTCTTTGCCATGTATGTGAGTATCGCTTGCAGGATGTATACTATACAGGTGTTGTGGCTGGAGCTCTCAGCATACCGAAGACGGATTGGAGTAGCAGGATATATTATCTCCTCGAGGTATGGCGTCCAGGTCTCGCCACTAGAACACATAACAACACTATCAACCTCGAGCCGATTTTTGTATGTAAAACGGAAGGCTCCGTCAGAGTTACTGCAGTACTGGTTATTTTAGATTCAACAGACCATTTGTAGGAGATATTGGCTATATTTCAGAGTTCCCCTCTTATATAACAGCATCACAAGGGTAACAGCAGAGCATACAGTGTGATTGTCACCCTGTATGCCTTTGATAAAAGCATGGATTTCTCACCTTATGACAAAGTGTAGCTTAGACATAGCATATTTATGTCATTCACATTACATTTATTCATATTGTGTACATAATTAACTTTCAGCCTGGAACGACCGAGCCAATTTTGTGTGATGAATATGGCTCCCCGCTGACTGTGGCGTACTTCCCTCTGCAATCTCCCGAAGAGATGCAAGAAGGATTTCATAAACTGGTGTACTCCAAATGCCCTCCTCAGACTGTACCTGATTCCGATTAGTTCGGTCTTCATGTTAGTCGTTATTGAGTGAGGTTTAGGAAGATCTTCTATTCATGGTTGTGTATATTTCCAGAACTCCTGCACTTTGATAGATGAACATGTATTATGCAATTGTGAGTTTAGACTGCTTAAGAGTGGAATGTGTCTCTTAAGTCCAGTGCTCGGAACATATTCCTTCTCCTGAACATTTCATTAGGTAAGCTTTGAAGGAGTCAGGAGGACCACTACTAAATTGATTTGTTTTGATGTATCCTCAACACCTCAATGTCGTCGATCGCTAGTATCACTACATTCTGGTCAGAAAGAGTGCACAGCTCCGAATTTTCACTAAATTCATGGGGCAAAATGTTGCATCATGACACAATAGTACTCGAGTATTAAGTGCGACAAATTTACACATTTTAAAAACATGATGTGTCGCGTTGCTATTGCGCATTTGCATTTTTGTAGGATATTTTCATTTTAGAGAACTTTCATCCGTCTGAAATCCCGTTTTGTACAGAACAAGGCATGGTTGCATTTTTCGCAAAGTTGTGATATCCCATCGAAAGTGCAGCGGCCGCCGGCTCAAATGAAGTACGCTACCACGCTCTGCCTACCTCTGATACAAGGAGTAGAATTGATGGGCGTAAAGTGTGGCAACCAGGCGCAGTTACGGAATACTTCAATATTCCATGAGTCTGCACATTTCCCGCTGTTTTATAGTGTCATCATTCTGAGTTGTTGGTTTCTCCACAGTCGCACTTCTGAGAGAGTTTCGTGGAAAACTTGGCAGTTCTTCACCACACTGCAAACTATCAGAGGGTTTCACAAAAGAATTGGTGGTTCAAAGAATGGTTCTAGTGACTGATGCTGTTTGTCGGGCCAGTGGTCAGATCGTTGGTTCCAATGATACAAACACTGCTATAAACCATCTTGGCCTGCAATTTCAAACGCAAAGCTCAACTGTGCACATACGGATTTGCGAGCTCCTGTAACACTTCACTGTAAATATTTTCAAGTTTACCATCTATCAAACATGCCACACTGAAAAATACAAAAGAACAGCAGCAGTAACCTGTCGGACATAGGGATGGTGAGAACATGCTGCTCTGCGGTTTTATCTCGAGTGCTATTACAAGAGGAATGCTTTTGGCAAGATGCGCGAATAGACAAATAGTTCGAAATTTTCGTGCATGGCTCAAACACAATATGTTCAAAATGGAGAAAACTCTTGAAAAGAAAACTAAGAATTGCAGTATGGCGGATAGAACCGAGCTATTACATAGCGCTAGAGATTTTGGGAGATACTGTTTTGTTTTGCCTTCACCTTTTTATTATTGACATGGGTTCGTCTAGAAAAAAAACTTCCGACGTCCGGGTATTTTGTGGGAGATGCAACACGTACTCATTATTCGAAGTGAATTACTGACTCATTTTCGGTCTGTCTCAACCAGCTCGATTAAAGGGCGGCGCACCGTGTCCCAATTTTTCCTTTGACATTTTCGTGTTTGCTGGAGCCCACAGTTACAGGTCCTTTTTTGAACATTTGTTGTCGCTTTCTCTGGTAACAGGGATTATAAGGTTTCATGGTCCCGCTGAATGCATTCTGATATATCCTAGTATCTTATACCACTTTGCTCCAGTGTATTGCCGTCCAATAATAGGATTGAAATACGCAGTGTAAAATGTGCGAGAATGGTAACGTTCAACGGTAACGACACTAAATCCACGATGTTCACCGGAAACAAAGTTCCAGTCCCGAACGTAATGGTTCTTGCGTTATTTCCAACATGCGGCCACAGTCGCAGTATGCTTCCATCCACAGACGATTGTCCTTTCGACTTAGGTCATGCATGAAACTTTACGCCCACTCGACCGACTTATGATCAAACTTTGCCTTTCCACAAGTGCATCTAATTGTATTGAATTGGACTGTAACTTTCTGACAGCATCGCTGGAACTGTCCGGGTAGCAGTTATACTACAACATGATGAAGAACTCAGTAGTCAAGAGCGTTTTAGCTTATGGAGTTGTCTGGTATGAAGGAGAACAGGGAAGTTGACCAAGACTTGGATCATATCGCTTGACGACTATTGTCTGAACTCAAAACAGTCGACGTTCTTCGGAAAATACTTTTTCTTCTGAAAAGCAAAGAAGCTGGTTCGAAATGATTGAGAATGACTGCTTGACATGGTTAACGCTATGGCATCGGGGTGGCCATCGACCTTCTTCTAGTTCTTAGTTGAGAACAGCTCTCACATCATCCATTGTCGAACTCGTGCAACATTGCACCGCACCGCTGCATGCCTCTTGCACTGTCTTGGAAAAATCCGAGACTATAAACCTAGGTGGCCACATCGTGGGCTTGCCGCTCAAGAGGCAACTGCCTAAAGTTGGTGTGTTCTTGCGCGTTTTTGCAGCATCACATGCTTTAATATCTGCCCGCTGTTAGAAATGATGATGCTGATTCTTGAAGTGCTCATTAGACGGAGAGGCAGTACAACTCTGTGGAAAGAACTGCAATATATGACTTCTTCCCGCAATGCTATATCAAAACGCAAAACATGCTTTCCAGAAAAGAAATCTTAACTGGAAAATTCTCCAGTTTCCATCATTTTCCGCAGGCTTTGCTCTAACAGAATTTCTTCATGACTGGAAGCTCACCTGCGTGACAAGCAGATTCTCAGGGTCACTACATGAGCATATTTTCCCCTGATCGAAGGAGAATGGTGAACAGTAATCAAAGTTTCAACCTGTGAAGGTAGTACAAGCGAGTGATATGTTGCAAAATGAAATAATACTAGTTAATTTTCGAGTGGCCGCGTAAAACGGAGCTGTTGGGCAATAATCGGCTGAAGCCTGGGGATGACCCGTAACTGTGAAAGTTGTGGTCTAAAAAATTAGGTGATAAAGCTGATATCACGTGAGTATGATAGGCGAATAGGCGACAGGACGTGCAGCGACCAAAGAGAGCTGATGGGCGGCGTTAGAGTGTGATTACTATGATATCAATGCGGTGTGTCTAGGGATAGAACGGGGTCATTGATGGTGGGTAACAGGAATGGATAACAGCTGATAAGGTCTATTAGAAGGTGCTAGAAGAGGAGCGCGAAGTCTATAATGTGCGTCAAAGGAATGACAGCGAGTTGGCTTCACGTAGTGATGTAGAGGATCGGATAGAAATATCGGTGCTAGCTGATGGGAAGAGATAACGAGCATTTCCCCCTCCTTACGACCGAGGTGCGATCACTAATATAGTGCTGTTCAAATATCAAAGCACAGAGGCTTAGCATAAGAGTTTCACGTTTTGAATTATGTGTCACACATATTTTAATTCAGATAGCGAAGGATCAAAATTGGCCCAACCGCTAGACTCACAACTCCTGGCAAAAAGTAGGTGCGGTGTTTGCTGCTGATTTAAGTAAAGTTAATAAATGGAAGAATATGTGAAAACTGCTTCACTGCAAGCTGCGAAGATGCTACCATGACTCCAGCTTTTTACGTGCTGTTACCATAGAAACGTACACGACCGCTAAACTGTCCGCACTTCCAACGAATGACGGTTCTTTTTGCTATTGTAATGAGCAGTGATCTTTAGAAGTGTTCATCAATTAAGAAGAACAGAGAGAGATAGCTAAAGTCTCAAAAATGAAGATATGCCAAGTGTTCGGTGTCGATATCGGGGATACAAATGCACTGTCAGTTATCAGCTACACAGGGAAAAAATGCGCCTACCAGCCATACAGCTGGAACTGTAACGTAGTATAGGAGCGAGAGATGCTACACATTTGAAATAGGTTCACTGGCTCACAGAAACACACTTGATCACAGTGATAGGGTTACTACACAAAAATACGGGCTCCAAGTAGGTTCAAAAAATTCTGAGAAATTGAGCAAGTACTATGAATGAGAATAGCCACGTTTTCGATCTCGATACATCGTAAGATCTGCACAACATCCATGACAGCCCGAAAAAAAGAACGCAACATAGATACCATCGAACTGTCTGGTACCGCCCCTGCAGTTTTTTCTACATCGTCTGCCTCAACAAATTTGCCAACATTCCTTATAGCTACTCATTGATTCATCCAGTAATCTTGAGTCACTTTCACACTTTCAGTCTTGGAGCATTGCTCTAATCCATTTTATTACATTGGCCATTTCATTACAAGTGGCCATTCCCAAAAAATTCTATGATCAACTTACTGAGACGCTTTGAGTTTTCAGTTTTGAGTTCCAACCGCTCTGAGTTTGAATGTCTTACCTCTCACTTAGTATTGCAACATAACAGGCATTGCATTGCCATGGCCTGTAATATTACAGGTGTAAGTCAATCCAGAGTTTTGAACCCGAAATCCTGTTTCCGTTCTCGAGAGATTTTCGAACGTACGACTGGATAGTATGAATATGTCAGACACCACACAGTTGTCTATCAAGTCATATCGCTGTTTTATAAGAGGCAGCTTCCTTACACCAGGGTTTCCAACATGAGGTAAAAACAAACGACCGTTTCAGCTAGGTGAAAATCAATAGTCACTTCTCTCAAGTAAGAATTGGAGACAGGGCTTTCCAAAGGGCTGTCCTTTCGGAACGACCCGCCCATAACACCTATACGCAGGATTGAGACGTTTGCCGCGTACAGTGCCCATTCTTGGCCCCTTAAAGAAGATGAGGTTATCTCCTTCTTCGCTTCTGTTTCTACTAAGGTTTCTGGTAGTCTAGTCCCTCGTACAAGTGGAAGAAATTCCGTTGGATCAAGCCCCATGAAACGCGACTTATTTTTCATCAGCAATTGTATTTCTGAGCCTAACTTCGAACAATTTGCAATTGAGCAGTGTCCCTTCAACATAAGCAATCGAGTTATACTTTTCCGCCGTTGGTTTTACGTAAAATGTCTTACGCTCAGGCCTCCAGCTCTTTTTAGGTGTTCTTGGCAACTCGTCGGCTACTTTGAGGGTTCTTACACATTTCATCAGTAAATGCGGATCTGTATGCAAATGAGATGATCATGCGTACTCTGGCCCCTACTGCAACGCTGAGAAATGTTAAAGAACTGATTGTTATCGCAAGTTTATTGTGTGAGTTTGAATCTACAACTCCTCCCGTTTAATGTGCTTCAGAGCCATTTTGGCTACCATTATGTATAACAGCGTCCTTTAAGGACCATTATCCTCCAATTATTTCGGCAGTTTCTAGATTTGCTACCGCGATAAAGTGCTGCAAACCGAAAAACTCACATCGCATTCTTTGAAAGCTAATCACTACACTCTCCATCAATTATGCCAGATCTGCTAGACAGATAATTCGAATATTTCAGATGGGTACATTATATTGAAGATTAGCTTTTGTACTGAAATGTTGGATATCGATGAAGATCCTTCTCTTAATCGAATACAGTTCCGGAATGCTACAGTACTATTCAGATATCTCTTGCTGCCTAATACTTCAAAATGCAACGGAGTGTACGTAAGTCAAGCTATCAAGCTAGCTATCAAGCTCAGAATGGTGTACAAATATCATAGGACAAACTCACCTCATCCATTGCCTTGAGAGCGGGCCATGATGCTTTTCGTACTATATAGTCATCGCTTTTTGCGAAACTAATCACTGCCTATTGGAAACGGGTCATCCACGTCGATAATGAAGAAGCTGTTGAGCGACATCTGAAAACCAGTCAGAGCTTTTCGCAAAGGCTCACCCCCACATAGGAGAAAACTTTTTTGTTGAATATACATGAAGGCTTATTAAGACCTCCACTTGGGCATGGAACTCTTGCCACCCCTAGGGAAACTTAAGCCTCTGTTTCACACAAGCCGGGGCTAGGAAAAGGTGCCTACTCGCCCGTTATAGACGAATGAATGATATGAAGTTGATATGCTGCATATGGACGAATTTTCGTACCAGTTACGACCATCGACAAGACTTCTTTCGCTTAAAAGAGCGCAACTTTAGAAGTCCTGCTCACGCGTCAGCAGCCCGGAGCACGGTACCGCCCCTTGCGGTACCTTGTGTTGAGAGGGAATCTGTCTCCTCCCTGGTCATGCAAGAACGATTGCCTCCCGTTACAATTGAAGTCCTTATTCAGGAACTGAACCTAAGCATCAACACTCTGGAAAAAGGGGACCAAGACACCGAAGCACTGTGAACAGAAAACTAACCTAGCCTGAATCAACTGTTTGAGTAGAGATATAGCTCATAGCTCGTCCTCCTTATAGCTACCACGCATGGAGCTAGGGGAAAATTGCACTGTATGTGTGTTCGTCTCTCATCTGTACTGAACCACGGCAGCAGCGTCTGGGTAGGCATGTTGGACTTTACTCTTGACACTCACATACATGGAATGTATGATGGCAGAGGTGAGATGTGGCAAATTACGCGGTATCGACGCGCGCGACCCTACGATCAGTCCCCGCATTGGCTTCCACTCAGGCCTTCTACAGTCCAGAGGCACAGAACTGGCAGCGGCTCCTTTTGGAAAGAGGAAACCACTGCTTTCAAAGTCAATCGCCATTCGGAAGTCATTCCAAGGAACATTCTCAAAGGACACTCTGAATGATCTTCTTAAAAGGATGTGCTGTAAAAAGAGAATGACAGCAAAAGCTTTATTCCTTTATGGACAGAGTAAAGCTGCGGCCATACAGTTGTACTTGTTGTAGCTGCACTGAACTGCTGCTCGAATTGAATGCGTATTCGGACGCTGATGGATGTTCGCCGATGTGCGATTCACGGTGTTGTACATAGGCGTTCCAACTACCACTTTAAGCCCAATTAACCAGCAGGGAAATTCAGCATGCTTAGCAGCCTGGGTGTCTCATGACACTGAATCCAATCACCAATTAGTAGTTTGTGGGAGCATATACTGAGCTTGATTTTACTATTGCAGGAAGAGCGGAATCACCATATTAGTTCTAACCACTCCAGAACGTGCCATGATTCGACAAGCAATACGTAATTCTTGGGCTTCAGCTATACTGTCAAAGTCAATAAGGGTATTAAATTTTTATGTCATTGAAATAATGTGGATGTGCGGGAAAGTAACGGAAAATCTGTAGAAAAGCCATCTCTTGTTGTGTTGCAAGCCCCCTCTAAAGCCAGAGTTGAATTCAAAGCAGAGATTCAAGTTAATGTAAGGCTTTTGAGACGTAAGATTTGTATGACAGATAAGACCCATAGAATGTTCTTGCCTCCCACTTTCTACAAATTCTACCAAGTTTAAGTTTCAAATCCAACAAAAGTGTGGAACAAATGCAGTACTAGCAAAAGGGTGTATGTTATGTGCAATAAATCAATCACGAATTATTCAACAATGACTGTCCACTAATCACGGCACAGAACTGACTGTACTATTTTCTAGGACGGATTTGTTTCTGTTTTCTTTTTTGTGGGTGCTCCAAAATCGGAAAAGGAGATGTCCATTCTGCTAGCTGAGCAGGAAAACTACCACGATCTGATTGTTACTGATATGAAGGAGCTTTACGAGAATTTAGTATTCAAAGTCAGTGAACTCATTAACAGCACATTTTTGCAGTACATAATACAAAACTGATTAGTTTAGTCGCTCGTATTCAGGTCAACGCGATGATGAATTTCTTTCTGAAATACTGCTCTAATGCAAACTTTCTACTGAAGATTGACGACGACGTCACCATTCATTTGGATCGCATGCTCACATACTGGAACAAATCTAAACATGATAATGATAGGATATATTGCCTTATATGGTCAGGTGCTCCGGCAATCCGCGATCCATCTAGTAAATGGTGCAGTGAAGTTTCGCGTCGTCATTGCAATCAGTCAGTTAGTATAAAATGCTTAGATTTTGAGGTTCATCCCACAAACAATGTGGCCAAAAAAGATGTATCCAAGTTACTGTGATGGGCCAATTTACTTGATGGGAAAACATGCTATGAACGAACTTCTCAGAGCGACTCCATGCTACAGTCCATTTCCTTTAGAGGTACTTTTCGTTATAAGAGTTTCACGTTACCATTTGTGCAAAAGAACTAAGTACTACTGAGTTGCGTCTTGAGAAGTGAGATTTGTGTTTATCTGTGCTGCGTTGCTAGCGGTCCCTACAAACTACTGGCTCTGAATCAGTGAAACATATCAAAACATGCCCATTTAGCCTGAACATTGCGCGCTTTCACGGTCAAACAAGACGCGTCGAGTGTATCCTTGCTCCCTTTCTCAAAATGCTCCCTATTTTGGAAGGCGATAGCTGCTTCCCTTTCGTCGTAGACAAAACAGGCGGACAAAAGACACCACAACAGTCCCAAGAAAATGACGTTGGCCACGTGTAAGAAGATGACTAAACAGAACGATGTAGGATGTTGTAATTGTATACTAATCGATGTCCTAAAAGCAATGACATGTTTTGACCTTTATCACAAAAGGACCTCGGATCCAGGAATATGTGAAGGATTCGCTCTCACTGGCGGAACTTGCCGCAAACCACCAGACAGTTATCATCACCTTCTCAGCTGCATTTTCAACTCGAGCAATGGTGCGGGGCTCCGTTTCGATCCACCCATTGCGCAAATCGTCGTCTTTTGTAGTTAAATTCCATTTCTTGGCTCATGAAGGTCGATAAAAGGGTCGTTTTTGTTGCGAAGGAGTGACGACAAGGCGAATACCAACGTTCCCTTAATCCTTATTCAATACGTGCCAGGTGTCAAATTCTTCTCAACACTCTTGCGGAGCTCCAAAACGGCTGACTTGTTTGAACCTATATATCCATCAGTACTTCCATGTAACGCCTTCAATAGGAGGACTTCCGCGATGTTCGCCATCATCGAGCTCAGATTATCCACGAAAACCTTTGGTACCAACGCAAAACGGTGCGCTCACTTACACTTCCCTATTCTCACACCTCACTGATATTAAGGGCTGTTTTGGCTGCACCTCTGCCGAGCTTGATCCATAGAATTAAAACAGTAGAGTTTATTGCCCGGACTTCTTCATGACCGAGCGGTAATAGCCCTGATAATGGGGAACAGTGCTAAATTCACTCGCATGGAGAGTTAGCGCACGCATCCTACTCCCTTCGAATATATACCATTACGACTATCAATGAGTACTTGTATCCAGAACGGTCGTCAAAATCGTAGGGGTGCAACACTGCACTGACTCCCAAACAACCCGTGAATTTCGCGGAATAATCGAATTTGGCCTTTTTGAAAATATTACTCTGCTTTCAATTCTGAATTTGGTATATCTCTGCTATTCCGCACTTGAATTTACATGGGGCTACCATTATTTTGTTTTTATGTTTCTACTTTGACATGCAATTGCATGAGAAAACTAATCAAAAGTCGGAAGTGCGAATTTTCGGGAACTGCAAAGTTTGAATGACAGCTACGCAAAGCAGTACCTATGCGCTAAGTTGAGCTTTCAAAAGATAATTTCGTTCCACATTCAGCTGAAGGTTTGCTTCTAGGACGTGTTCTACACCGGCATCGTAGCCACCGCTGTAGGCATCACGAGGGTGGACTGGCGATACAAAATTCAGAATGTTGACGAGGTGTGTGCAGATTTTTTGTAAAAAAAGGCCTGCCATTGATGAATTGTGAACGTTTGCTAGTAGTCGGAAGCATTACCTACTTACTTTTTGCCTGCCCCACGTTAACACATTGGCGACAAGGCGCCTTTTCGCGTGTCTGCCGCGTGGGACGAAGCAATTTTTCCCTATTTTTGAGGAATGCGCATGAATGCTAGGGCGTTTACACACCAAAACACTTGCAGAAGGACTAGTATCAATGCAGAAGCTAGTAAAACTTTGCTGTTTTTTTTACTTTCAAGGTAAACCCTTAATTTTTGTGGAATACTCCCGCCCCATACACGCGGAGCGTGGGAAAGAGGTCGCAAAAAAGGAATTTTTTGGCGCCAGAGGCAGTAAATTGGATTCGATCCAGATCTGCTATTGTAGAAAGTTACCTTATCACGTTAGCTATCTACATGTGGAGCTTGAGTTCTATTTATCCAAAAATTACCTTTTTTTCCTAAGGAAATCACTTTCCTTTGTATCCTCCGTAAAATACTCCCAATGACACAACTGCTAGTTTTACAGCTACTGTATATTCTACAATGCCTTCCTGTACAATATGTAGCTGTTGAAAATTTGAAACGTTTTTAAATTGGTTTTTTACCCATGCCGCATCAGTGGGACGCAATGTCCCACGCGGCAAAAAAGGTGCGTCCCAGCAGTGGGACGCAATGTCGCCAACGTGTTAAAGGATGATCGCCATACATGTCCATGTTTTGTATGCTTTCGCATAAGACAATTTCTTTGATAGGATCAGTTGTATGCTTTCGCATAAGACAATTTCTTTGATAGGATCAGCCTCCTAACATGTGTTACCTTTGCCAAGAGGGCTCATTTTTATGCTAACAACGTTTTGAACATTATCGAAACGCACTGCAATGAAAAGTGCTTGTCTGCACTCGAGGGATTAAGAAAACACACTCCTTTTTTCGAAGTCTCTGCAAAGGTGTTTGGTCCATCGATCTGTCAATGTTTAGCGGACGCAATTGAGTTCCTTCTTCTCGATCTTTGTCTAGAGCGAAGTCCAGAATCACTACCATCATTTCCGCATTTGGGAAGCGCCGAATGTTGCACTTTTGATGAAGCGTCGAATGATGCTGACAATGTCCTCGTCGTTAATGCACAGAGTCTAAGATAATGACAACGTTACGTCAGAAAGAGCTTGAGACCGAAAACACGGAGCAAGCAATGCTTCGAGCGTAAGCTCAACTTGAAACGCTTCCCCAGTACTTATTAGAGATGACAGTCTTAGAGAATAAAGAGGAGACAACACAAAGATATATAAGGATAGGGATATATAGGCAATACAATTACACGTTACTTGGACGTGTGCAATGATTCCCATCATTTTTGACCACTTTGAATTCAAATATGACTCAAGAATTCTACAAGTATTTATTTTCAGATGACATGGGAACGAAGAATCTATTGCGATGGCCCACATAATCCTGTTACCTTCGCAATATCATCTTTCAAAACGGCCGCTAGTTTGATGACAGCGTATCATTTACTGGATTCGTTTACATGTTATAATGGTTCTACAAGTGCAATTGATGTCGAAATTCCACCCTCACAGAATTGAAAAAAATGCAATGTCTTTGTACACTAGCAGCGGATTAGGAGAAATAAGAGAATAAAAATACAGAAAGTTGGAAAGTTGGGGCAAACTTGAAGATCACGAACAGCAACATAATGCTCAGATATTCACATATTACGACAAGTGAGTAGTGATCTCTTTCCGTGTGTAGCGAGCTGCTCAAGATCATGACAGAAAAGACACTCTAAACACGAGTAGTTATTTGCAGCATTTCAGAATGTAAACAAAGAATGTGACACTGTTCCCGTCCTGCACGCTTATTTTAAAACAAATTTTCGCAACGCTTAGATTGCGAAAGATGAGAGAAAGAAGAAAGATGAGGGGCAGAAGACAGCGTCCATACGTAGGTACAGTTACCCTCCACCCCGTTCTCGTGAGCTTTATTATTAAATTATCCAAAAGTTCTTCCGAACCCTTTTTGAGTTAAGTTTATTCCAGTGAGAAGCAATTTAGATTAACAATATAAACGCTACCTTCATGTTTTGTTTGATAACTGCTGTTTAACGCCGCAGTGCGCGATACGAAAGTTATCACAAGAATGCTGAGTTGTGGGCAAAAGTCGGACCACGGGCGGGATCGAACGGCTAACCGGCTCATCACGTTGAACGTGTGAGTGCTCGAAGGCAATGGCACAAATAGCCATTGAGCTGAGAGGTCAAAAGTGGCCCCGGTAGCGTAAGTGGTAACGCAACTGCCCGGTAAGCAGAAGATGCGGGTTCGAGTCCCGCCCGTGGTCCGACTTTTGCCCACAACTCAGCATTCTTGTGATAGCTACCTTCATCGTCAACATGTTGCCAACCACCAGGCAAAAAGTGGTTGCTCGCCTCCAGAGCTTTTTGGTTCCGTGCCGAGAAAGGCAGCTGGGGCCATTTTTGAGGTACTTTCAAAAATCGTATTTTTTACCAGAAGATGGCCGCTGTGGGATTAGTTTAGATGGCGATCGGAAAGAGCTAAGTCAGGGCTACACGAAGACTGTGGTGGAATTCCCAGCTAAGCTTCGGATCTCGAGCAGTGTCATTTTCTAAACATGCGACCCTGAGCTGTATTGGAGTAGGCAAACATTGCTCGGTCGTGAGACCAAATAGATTTTCATCGCCCTCCCCCCCCCCCTTTGCAGTTAATTACAGTAGGGTTTGCCGATCACCACATCTGTGAGGAAGAATTTCCCTTCAAGGAAGAGATGAGGAAACCCCACCACATGCACAGTCTCACCTGGATTCTCTTACTGGACTGGTAGGATTGCGCGACCGGTTCTGCCCTTTCTGGGGATCTAGCCATTGGCGCTTCCGAAAATGATTCACTAGAGACACCTCCTCCATATCCAGTTGCAACGCTGTTCATTCCAGTCCGTATGGCGGAAGCGGGAGAAAAGTTGTAGACAGTACCCACAAGAGCTCCCCTTGGAGTATCGGTCAACTCATGAGAAAAATTTTGACCGAACTTCGATACTTTTTTAAGGAAACGAGGCTCACTGTCACTTTGTGCTTTTCAAGAGTCAAGTGTAAGGACTAGATAGCGAGTTGATTTGCACGAATTGGTTTCTATCAGGGAACGCAGTAGGTCCAAATCCAAGGCAGGTGACCTCCTTCGACGAAGTTTTTCTCTCACAATGTGTACTGTGGAAGGTACCATCAGGACCTGACTCAGAGAAATGCCGCTTGTGGCTTGGTGGAGATTCATGTAGCGAAGTGTGTCGAAAATGATGAATTTCAATTACCGTTTTTCATATGAGAACAGCGACTGCGAGGGACGGTGAAGAAGCTGTGGGATGCTCAACACTTCCCATAGACCACATAACTGGATCTCGAAATGGCTACGGAAAGATCTGATACGAGATTCCAAAAATGGTCACGAACTTTTGAGACAACCCATAAAAGGCACATTATTACAGCTAAAAATGTCCACGTCGCCCCTGAAAACGACCGTCCTTAGAGGCAAGCGCCTAATTTGTCTTAAAGGGGACTTAAGGGAGCTAGATTATAACATCCTGGCTCTCTAGAAGGATTATCATGTCCGCTCCAAACCGTTCTAACACGATTCCTATAGGGGACGCCATGCGTTGTATAAAATTTCCGCTAAACGCGACCCCTCCCCCAATAGCGGGTCTAGATTCTTTCTCAAACGAAAAAAAGACAAAAATGACAGCAAAAGGAATGCCATCGAATCGTACTTGAATCTGGACGTTTGCGCGCATTCAGAAATCGCTCGCGAACATGCTAAGGCTTTCCGCAGTTGCATGGGAGCGCGCTATTTCGATATATTGCGAAATGGGCCAGAAATTCCAGCGATCCTATTCTGGAATAACCTTGAGTTTCCTGAGAGTAGAGCTTGTAGAGTAGGCCTGTTGTGAAGATTGTTGATGATTACCTAAGCTTGGGCCATTCTAAACAGCTCCTTTTTAAGGAATTTTCCCTACCCTAACTGCCATCGTTGTTTAATTTCAGCGTTGTCTTTGAATCACCGTAAAATCCTTCTTATGTGACCATTTGCGGAACCAGAGACAGTGTCGGAAACCAAGTCTCCTCAGTTCTCTACTATGCTTACTATCCAGAAAAAAAACTCCCTGGCATTTCTGCTGTAGACAGTTTCAGGACTTCTCCTTGCTAACAGATGGTCCTACGGTTCCCAGCGTATAGAGCGTTTCGTTTGTTAATTAATTCGTGCGTCGTTGCGGGCAGTTACCGCACTTCTTGCCACCTCCTGTTCCCTACTCCTAACAACAAGCCCGCAGCTTGCCTCTGCCTTCAGGTGTCCCTTCAATATTCTTCACCAAAATCACCGCTTCCGAAACTAAAGTCATACATCGCAAACCAAGTTCACCACTTCTCGAACTGAAATCACCGCTCTTTGAACAAAATTCAACTTAACGCTTTTATCATTCAACAACTGTACAACATCTGATCACCGCTGCTCTTTCCACTTCTGAATGAACCTGGGCTTACAAGCCACTCTCCTCCTTCCCCGTCAAATACGCCCTCCCCTGTTGTGATTCCACAACGATCACGTGAGCTGGATTCAGCGCCTGGGCACGTTTTGTGGGAAGGGCAGCACATCTACCAGTTTGAATGTGTCACGGTATGAGCGCCAATATGCCCCATCAAGAATGGCAGGTATAAATCATTAGATTATTTTGCGAACCTTCCTTGAGTGTGAGGCCTGCTCTCATCTGCACCGCTCACCACAGTTCTAAAGAAGCCAAAGCTCCTTCTCAAAGCTTTGGAAGAGATCGCATTGAGGTGTCCTTGTGTCATGGTGAACGGCTTCTCAAGGCCCGTCATCAAGTCCAAGCTCATAGAGGAAGCAGAACAGTGCCGACAGTACAGGTAGTACAGGTCTCACATTTCGTTATTTTGCCACCCTTAGTTGTTTATATATTCGCTCAAGCTATTGCTGACCGCCTTGCATAGTTATTTAGGAAAGTCATGGGGTCTGTTGTTTGAACAATTTGTTCCTGAAAATCAATTCATCGTACGGAACTTACTGCCTAATCGAGATCGAGGAAATTGGGTATTTGGATTCATGGTTCCGCCATTTGTCCTTTCCATTACAGTAAGACATCGGCACGTACGTGGCCTTGTGACGTCTTCTAAATCGTCACGAGTTTGACACTTACAAGTAGCAACTCTCTGCTCATAATTATGATATTACCGGTTTGTAAACGTTATATAATACAGTGACGGACAAGCCGTAAAATGAAATAAAAAAGGTGAGAAGACATAAAGGCGCTAGCTGAAACATTGCAGTGTACTCCCAGCTACACTATGATCTTAATCTAAAAAAGCGAAAGCACGTTCCCATGCCAGAATTGGATATTTTTCTTGAAAGCGTTTGCTTCTGTGAACGATATCGGGAACACTCAGGCGAACATAAGGACCCAAACAGTTTGCAGGTGACAAAAATAATAATGTTGACTACTGGCATGCATTATTAGCTGGTAGCCCAATCGGAATGGTTCCTACAGCGCGAGCGTCTGACATCCCATCTGAGCTGTCCGTGAATGGGTTAATTGGTACTTGGAACGGTAACCCACACTCACCTGCGATGTTCATGTTTGTAAGAATGCTTTGGATGTTTCTCTATCCAGAAGTCATCTTGGACTTCATCCTGAAGAAGAGTAAATTCACTCGTTTGAAGAGAGGCTATGCACTCACTCTCTGACCCTTACCAGGTGAATGGGACAAAATAAGTTAAGGAAAACCTCCCATTCCTAGGTGTATTAAGGTGACTGGGTTATTACAAGTAACTCTGACGGTTTAACCTTAGATGCAGCTACTTGTCTGAAGTGGATGTGAGTGGCATTGTGTATCCTTAGAAGACCAAAACCATAGTCCGTAGATCGATTGGCACTCCATGGTCCAGGGTTGGTGATGAAGGTATCCGTATTCTCACGACATCCCTAAACACGGGTATGATACGATATGAGAGAGATTTTTACACACGTTCTAGTCAGACCCTCAGAAACATCAGTTAACCGCATTTGATAAAAAAAACATGAAAAAATGGCCCACTCTTTAGGGAGTAGGACAGTTTGAGGGCTAACAGTGCCTTGTTCATTTTCTGTATTTTATTCCATCATGTCTCGGAAGAAGATACGAGAAATTCTTATGTAATGCATACTAGGATACTCTCAACTTACAGCTGATCCCGAAACGATGTGCACTGGGGCAAGAGGATTTATATAAGGAGCCGCAGTACCATTGTAAACCTGAAACCTCATTGTTATCACTTGAAAGGGATCAAAAATAGCAAAAATGTGCAGACATCAACTCCATGACAATGACTTTAGACGAAGATAACTGAAAACTCGACAAGTTCGAGCTATTCGTGAGCTCGTTAGTTAATACCTTCGAGCAAAAATTGCTTACTGTCAAAAATTTGCAAAGTTTCTGCAGTAGTCCCACGAGAGACCCTGGGGGATGTCAGGGAGGCTGGGTTTGGCGTGGCCCCAGCCCGTTTTCAACCACTTGTTGTTGCTTGTTCACTTCGCTATACCTTTGACCTCCCTCACTGTTCGTTTCTTTTCCAGTGATTGCATGTTATTAGCT